CACCACTTTCCTCACTGTACTACTGTCCCACCACTGTCCTCACCACCGCCTTCACCGCTGTCCCCACCACTACCCACCACTTTCCCACTGTCCCCACCACTGCCCCGCTGTCCCCTCACCACTGTCCCCACCACCACCGCCCCCCACCACCGTCCCCAACACTGTCCGCACCACTGTCCCACTGTCCCCGCACCACTGTCCCCACCACCACCGTTCCCACCACTGTCCCAACATCCCCACCATTCTCCAACTGTCCCGAGGAGCGGGCATCGTTTGCCGGCGGCGAGGGGGGGGGGTTCGAACCAGTAGTGACCCCCCCCCGGTTTTCGAGGGGGGAGGGGGGGGGGGTCGAACAGGTAATGACCCCCCCTGGTTTTCGAGGGGGGGGGAGACCAAACCGGTAGTGACCCCCCCGCTTTTCATGATGAACTGGGGGGGAGGGTTCGAACCGGTAGTGACCCCCCCCCGGTTTTCGAGGGGGGGGGCGGGTTAGGAACCCCCTATGACCCCCCCGGTTTTCTGCCAGCAGCGGTAGAACACGCTCGTTCCGTGCTTTGTATCGGGCGCTGTAGGTCCAGCGACGAACTCAAATTTGACCCGTACTTATAGCATTGTCGGTGCCACTGCACTGTCGGACAAACGCAGGCGGGAAGAAAGGAAATATAAGTTGTCTTTAATTCGGGCCTATGTTCCATGAACGACTTCCAAACTTGCCCGAGAATGTGCTCAATTACGAAGCTGGCGGACGCCGTCGAACTCAACGGTTCCCCAATATGCCTTACTGTCTCTTCTGCGGGTAATATTTCAATTCCCTTCGACAGTGACTTATGGTGGGCAAACTGTGCTCGCCATTGATCAACTTTCTACTGGAAGACATTATGCGCCAAACGAAAGCGATGTAGAAGACAATGCGGTATGGCATCAAATCGGGCTTCACGAGCGCATCAACCCTTACTACTTTACGTTTTGCAGACGACGTCTTGTTGGCAGGCAGAACGCTCTTCCAAGCCCAGAACATGCTATCCGACATCGAGGAAATTGCGAGAGCGGTTGGCCTGCGTCTGCGTCCCGACAGGAGAACGAGCGGGGCAGTCAGCAAAAGGTGGACCTCTGCACAGCACGCGCCGACCGACTGGCATGGACAGGCCTACATCCACGGACTCGGGCTGAATCGCGACCAGCGAGGCAACGCCGCCTTCTGGGGAGGGCGACGCGGGCTATGGCTCAGACGAATCCTCAGAATTCGGAGACCTGGAGTGAAGGCGTCGGCCTTTTCACCAACGCCGCTCGTCGCTCCAAAAATGATGAAGCAGAGTATCTTGTTTCCCATGAGAGGCCATCCCCCGAGCAACCACTCAAGCGTCAGCTGGCGTCGTGAGCACACTGGCACCGACACTGGAATAATGAAACTATGCTGGCAAAGCGAAGGAGCAGGCGATGAAGGAGGAGGGAGGACCAGAGGACGAGCAGGACTTCAAGGAGGACCACAAGCGACAACAGGCCCGTGTCCGAGGGGCACACCTTTACATTCTCGCCGGCTGGCGGCGGTCACGGCCGCTGGCCCCGTGCTCTAAGTGCCCAGCCACAAGAGCTCTTGGGCGGCTCCATGGCCACGGCTCCACACCTCGCGCGCCACTCCGCGGCGGCATCGGCCAACTCCACGCGCGCGCTCCCCCCAGCCGGCCGGCCTGCTCCGGTCCCCGCGGCCGCCGTGGGCCCCCGCCAGAGCAGCCGATCCGAGCCCCCGCGCTGCGGCAGGAGCTGGGCCCGGCAGACAGGCTCGGAGCAACGGCGTTCGGGTCCGGCGCCTGGGCCGATCGGGTATTCTGCGGTCGGCCGAGCGTGCCCTTCGCTCCTCTGACCTTTCAGCGCTGACATGTCCAGATCCAGCACAGGCAGCAGCTGGGCGAAGGAAAGAAGCAGGCCAAGGCTGGAGGGAAGAGAGGCAGCTATCCCCCGTCGGCACAGTCGGGTCGGTCGGGCGCTGGCGCGCGCTGGCGCGCGCCCTGCGACGGTCTGCCGCAGGCCTCCCTCGAGACCAAGCGGCCCGTGCAGAAAAACAAGCAACGGCGTACACGGAAGCTTTTGACGGTCCGCGCGGATTTCTTGGACCTGCGCTGAAGCCCCCTCCCTGGTGCGCGGAGCTCGCCAGGGGCTGCGCTGGCGGCGCCGCCAGGGGGTCCCTGCGCAGATCCTAGAGATCCGCGAGGATCGTCAAATGTGTATGTATAAGCCATTGTTTATTCTTCGATTTGTCTCCCAGCCTCGCAATCAAGCGTGTCCTCACGTGCTGCCGTACTGGCCTATCGTAACGGAGCCAAGCCGTGCAGTCGCGGCTGGGGGAAACGCTGCGCTGGCCCAAACGAGCGAGAGAAGGAGGAAGGACTCCTCCTCCTCCCCCTCCTCCTCCTCCCCCTCCTCCTCCTCTTCCTCCTCCTACTCAAACATCATCGAGTTGCCAAAAAACATACACAAGTACAGGGTTTCGCAATTCTGAGTTGCTACAAAAGCTTACGCGTGCGCTCTGGCGAAATCGTAAGAAAACCATAGCTTGCTCAAGCTCTTCAACAAAAAAAGGACTTCGCGCGAGCGCATGTCGAAACCTTTCGAACGCCCTTGCGCGCGTGCCGTCGCGAGAACCCTCTGCAAAAAATGGGACGAGGTGCGCACGCGCGCGTCGTCGCGTGCGCATGCCGAAATCCTTCAAAAACCGTCGGTTTCGCAACACGGAGTTTCAACAAAAGCGTGCGCGCGCGCTCTTGCGTCCTCGTCGTCGCCGTCCTCCCTCCTCCCTCGTCTTCGTCGTCGTCGCCGTCGTCGTCCTCTGTCTTTCCTCAGCGTCGTCGTCGTCTTGGCGTCGTCGTCGTCGTTTCCGTCGTCGTTGTCGCCGTGGTCATCCTTCCTCCCTCGTCGTCTTCGTCGGCGTTTCGTCGTTGTCCCTCCTATTTCGTCGTCGTCGTCGTCTTCCCTCCTCCCTCGTCATTGTCGTCGTCGGCGTCGCCGTCCTCCCTCCTTCTTCGTCGTTCGCGTCGTCGCCGTCCTCCCTCCTCCCTCGTCGTTGTCGTCGTTGCCGCCGTCGTCGTCCTCCCACCTCCCTCGTCGTCGTCGTCGTCTTCGTCGTCGTCGTCGTCGGCGTCGTCGTCGGTGTCGTCGTCGGCGTCGTCGTCGTCGGCGTCGTCGTCGTCGGCGTCTTCGTCGTCGTCGTCGGCGTCGGCGTCGTTGGCGTCGTCGTCGTCGGTGTTGTCGTCGTCGTCGTTGTCGTTGTCGTCGAAAACGTTGGAGACGTCGTCGGTGTCGCTGCCAAATGCCGTTTGGTACCTTCAGCCACGGTCTTGAAAGGTCTTGCGACCAAGTTGCGGGTGGGAGGGTGGGATTATTGCACCAGCAGTGAAGAGGACAGTTTCAAGTTAAGCAAGTGATTGATTCTCCTTTCTCAATACAAAATAGACTCTACCCCCCCCGGCGTTCGCCGCCCCCCTTTCGGGTATGTAAATCAAATATGATTATGACCACATGTCCATCCTAAATGTGAATTTACACTATCCCGGAGGGGCCGGTATCGGTCCCCCTCAGGTTCCCTTGTAAAAAACACTACGCGGGGACATTGTTTGCTCCAACATAAAACTTGTTCACGAATCCCTTGCCAAAAACGGGACGAAGTGCACACGCGCGTGTCGTCGCGCGCGCATGCCGAAATCCTTCAAAAACCTTCGGTGTCGAAAGGATTTCGCAATCGAGCTTCCAAAAAAAATTATCCCAGTGCGACCCTACATAGGAGTTGGAGCATTTAGGAAAACAACATCTACATCTACATCGACAGCTACATTTACATCTACACCTGCATCTACATCTATATCAACATCATCAGCGAGACTCACATCTACGTCTACGTCTACACCTACATCTACACCTATACTATACTATGTTATGCTATGCTGAGCTATGCTATGCTATGCTATGCTATGTTATGCTTGGCTGTGCTATGCTATGCTATGCTATGTTGTGTTAATGCTGCGCTGCGCTATGCTGCGCTGCGCTAAGCTAAGCTAAGGTACGAAAGCTCTGTGAAACTAATCTAGGCTAAATATGAGATAAGCTAAGTTAACCTAAGCTAAACTAAGCTAAGCTAAGCTAAGCTACGCTAAGCTAAGCTAAGCTAAGCTAGGCTAGGCAAAGCTAAGCTGAGTAAGATGAGATCGGCTAAGCTAAACCAAGCTAAACTAAGCTAAGCTAAACTAAGCTAAGCTAAGTTAAGCTTAGCTTAGCTAAGCTGGGTGAACCCAAGGGCGCGACTGGGGGGAACCGCGGGGCGGGGACTGGGAGAACCGCCCGGGGCGCGTTCCACTGCCCGGCCCCTTTAAGCTAAGAGAGTAAGAACCCTCTAGGCAGAGCCTAGGTAGGGAACATACAAAAACACAGGATTTCGCAACACTGATTCGCTTAAAAAGCTTACGCGCGAGCTCTTGCGAAATCTTGGGAAACCATAGCTTTTTCAAGATTTTCACAAAATGCTACCAAACGGGCTTCGCGCGCGTGCATGTCGACATCTGTCGAACGCCCTTGCGCGTGTGCCGTCGCGAGAATCCTCTGCATAAAATTGGACGAAGTGCAGACGCGCGCGTCGTGGCGCGCGTATGCCGAAATCCTTCGAAAACCATCGGTTTCGGGAGGATTCAAAATCGTGAGTCCAAAAAACCTGCAAAAACACAAGGTTTCGCAACACGGAGTTTCAACAAAAGCGTGCGCGCGCGCTCTTGCGTCGTCGTCATCGTCGTCGTCGTCGTCGCCGTCCTCCCTCCTCCCGCGCCGTCGTCGTCGTCGTCGTCGCCTGCGTCGTCCTCTGTCTTTCCTCGTGTTCGTCGTCGTCGTCCTCTTTGGCGTCGTGGTCGTTTCCGTCGTGCTTGTCGCCGTGTCGTCCTTCCTCCTCCTCCCTCGTCGTCGGCGTCTCGTAGTCGTCCCTCCTATTTCGTTGCCGTCGTCGTCGTCGTCGTCGTTGTCGTCGTCGTCGCCGCCGTCCTTCCTCCTTCTTCGTCGTTCGCGTCGTCGCCGTCCTCCCTCCTCCCCCGTCGTTGTCGTCGTTGTCGTCGTTGTCGCCGTCGTCGTCCTCCCTCCTCCCTCGTCGTCGTCTTCGTTGGCGGCGTCGTCGTCGTCTTCGTCGTCGACGTCAGCGTCGGCGTCATCGTCGTCTTCGCCGTCGTCGACGTCGGCGTCGTCGTCGTCGTCGTCGTCGCCGTCGTCGTCGGCGGCGTCGGCGTCGTTGACATCGTCGTCATCGACGTCTGCGTCGTCGTCGTCGTCGCCGTCGTCGTCGTCGTCGTCGTCGTCGTCGGTGTCGTCGTTGTCGTCGGTGTCGTCATCGTCGTCATCGTCGTCGTCGGCGTCGTCGCTTAGCTGGGATGTGCCCAGCAGTCAGCGCCACCGCGGCCGCGTCGGTCGCGCCAAACTAGCTGGCCGCTGCGCGCGCGCTTGGTTGGCGCGGCCGCAGAGATGGGCCAGCTAACTCCAAACACTCATTGCAATCGTCACCACATGGGTTTTGCAAGCCAAGTTGCGGGTGGGTGGGTGGGATGCTTGCAAGAGCGTGGGATGTGTCAACTCGTTTGTTAAAATCAATTGCACCACATAGATTGCACCACATGGATCGCACAACATGGATTGACCCACATAGCTTGCAAAACTTGACTACACCACACAGCTTGCACAACAAACATTGAACCGCATAGAGTGCACCACATGAATTGCACCACACGTATTGCCCAACATAGAGTGCACAACCTATATCGCACTACATAGGATAAACCACATAAAGTGCACCGCATACAATGCACAGCATAGATTGCACCACATAGAGTGCACAACACATACATATATATATATACACACACATATAACTAGAAACCCACTGTTTGGGGCACACGCTGGTTATCATTACACAACCCTACCGCTTCCGGGGCCCAAGGAGTTCGGGCTCCATTTGAAAGGCATGGGTAGATGGAAGCGCAGACATTTTTTTCGCGTGATGTTCCATATCACCTTTTTGTGACAACATATGTTGGCGGCGCACACAAGGGGGTGGAGAGGGAGGGGGAAGGGTTCTTAGGAGGAGGCTGCTTCTTAGAAGGCGGCGGCCTCACATCTACAGACAAGGCCCACGCCTTATCGGAAGCAGGGCGGCTTCTAAGAAGCCCTCCCCCCTCCCCTCTCCCTCCTCTGCGCGTGGCTGACAGTGGTCCACCGCTGCCCTCCCCAGACATCCGGCTGCTCCAACCTTTTCGATGCGTGGGCCCCGAAAGTCTGGACCGGTTCCCCAGGGCTGGCTTTGCGATCCGAGTCGTTTCTTGACTGTCTCGAGGCTCGGCGAGGGCCCCCAGAGGCCGAAAACGGCCAAAAAGCCAAAGCTCCATTCTTTTCGGAGCATCGGAAAGGAAGGAGGAGGAGGAGGAGGAGGAGGAGGAGGAGGAGGAGGAGAGGGAGGAGGAGGAGGAGGAGGAGGAGGAGGAGGAGGAGGAGCAGGAGGAGCAGGAGGAGGAGGAGGAGGAGGAGGAGCCGGAGCAGGAGCAACAGGAGCAGGAGCAGGAGCAGGAGGAGCAGGAGCAGGAGGAGGAGGAGGAGGCCCTCGACGGGGGCAGACCGTCAGGAGGGCGCCGACCACAAAGGAGACGGCCACCGTGACGAGGGGCAGCACCAGGAGCCGCCCGCTCTTCACGATGCTGCCTCGGGGCGCGGGGGGCGATAGGGGGCCACATGCGAACCCTCACTTACCGCACGGTCAGTTACCGCACCGTTTCGAGACTCCCACTCACGAATAATATAATGGTCTCACATGGCGGAACGCTTCCGCCCTCAGTTTTGGCAAGGGCGTCGGAGTTCTGGGATCCGGGTGAAAGTAGGGGGCGACGCGGAGGGGGCTCGCGAGGCGCGCGGGAGCTGGGCGCCAGACGCCTCGAAAGCCCGAGGCCGTCCGGAACACGCACGACACACGCCTGAATAGAGGCCTCCTAGATGGGGTCCGAGTCGATGGGGTTCGGAGGATCTCGCCGCATCGCCGAAACATCGCCGATGCATCGGCGATGCATCGGCCATGCACTGGCGACGTCGGCGATACATCCGCGACGTCGGCGTGGAGAAAATCGGGCCCCACATCGAGCCGCATCGACGATGCATCGCCGATGCATCGCCGATGCAGCGCGATCCTCCGACCCCATCTACTCTATCTACTCCGACCCCATCTGAAAGGCCTAGACTGAAGCCGCCCAACGACGCTGCCTCGCCGGAGTCGACGACGACGCCGCCGTCGAGCGAGCGCCGCCGACGGCCGCCTGGAGGCCTGCTGCCTTTCTCTGTCTCCGACGCCGAAGCGGGCCACGGAGCCCTCGGGGGCCCGAGAGGGTCGCCGTCGTCGTCGCCGCCGTCAACGTCGCCGCCTGGCAAGACTCCGCACGCCCGAAATGACGCCTCGAACGCCCGAAGCCGTCAGGAGCGACGAGACGCACAAGGCACGCCGGGACCCGCCGGCTCCCCCTGGCAAGACTTTTCGCACGCCCGGTGTGGGGTCCAGGGAGCATGCGAGCGGTGTCCAATAACTCAAGAACGCTTGTCCAAAAACGACAGCGGCAGCTGTTGGGCAGGCGGCCTTCCGTCTCGAATGGACAACGCCCGCAGCGACACAGACAGCGAGTCCTGTCCAAAATGAACCAGAAATGTTGCCCGTTTTCGCGCCAATTCTTTCCGTAGCGATTTCGACCGTACCGAAAACTCCCGATCCACCTCGAGCGCCCGAAAGCGTCCCCCCGACTGAGGGATAACAACGGGGGGGACTGGCAAAGGGGGGGAAACATCAACCCAGAATCGGCGATACATCGCGGCGATACGCCCCCGATAGCAAATCCCAATGTTCCTGGACGGGGTGGGGCTATCAGACCCCCATCGGCGATCAATGGGCGATTGGTTGTCGATGTATCCCCCCTATGCCTGTCCCCATGCCCGATGGCGTTCGGGCCATAACTCGGCTCACCAGCGGCCGTTCGGGACGATCCTGGCAACCCCGGAACGCCCTCGGCGAGGCGCAGCTGCTGGGAAGCATCTCAAGGCCAGGAAGGCGCCGAAGACCAACGAAAACGTCCGAAAACCTCAAACATCGAACCTCGAAACCGAAGCTTCCCTGTACCTGTCTCCCCTTGGCGGCGCGCAGAAGGGTGTAGGGGGAGGGGGGAAGGCTTCTTACAAGGAGGCTGTTTCCTAGAAGGCACTGGCCCTACATCTACAGAGAAGGCCCGCGCCTTCTAAGAAGCAGGGGTGTTTCTAAGAAACCTTCCCCGCTTTCCAAACCGTCCATTTGAATTTCCCGTCTTGTGTCATTTCTGGTTTCCCTCTGACCTTGCTGTCGACATGAGTCGCGTTCTCGACGCGATTCCATGCTATCCCGTGCCATACCGTGCATCGCGTACTCTCTCGGGATTACTCCCCCGTTCGACATCCAACGGTGCGAGTCGAGAGGCGATCTGCGCAATGGCAAGGGACGGCAGAGAGGGCCAGGACGTCAGACATGACGCTTGCGCACCCAGCCTGCCCTGCCCCCCCCCCCCTGCGCGTGGCCGCCCGTCCTTGGCCCCCCGGCGCTGCCCCCTCGGCGCGCCGCCGGAGACGCCCGCGAACCGCGCGGGCCGGGGGGGGGGCCGCGCCGCCCGAGGCCCGCGGCGCCCTCGCCGCGCACGTCGGCGGCGCCCACGCCGCACGCGCCCGGCGGGCAGCCGTCGCGGTGCGGAGGGGCGCTTTGGGCGACGACCTCTCGGCGGCGAGCGAGGGAAGTACAAAGGGAGAAGGCCTTCTCAGAAGGCGGCGGGACTTTTCAGAAGCCTCGCGCCTTCCGAAGTGTTCTGCGTTTTCGGGGGAGGCTTAGAGTGTTTTTGGAAAGGCCGGGGGACTTCCGAAACTTCAGGGAAGGCATTACCCTTCTTACTTCCCCCCCTCGCTGGCCGCCGATACCGACCAGACAACCCCAACCCAACCCGAGGGGGTTGCGCAGGGGGTGGTCCCTCAGCGCGGCCGCTATCCGTCACGGTCGTCCAGGGCATAGCAGGCGCGGCATATTCTCGACACCATAGGGGGTGCGCAAAGGGTGGTCCCTCAGCGCGGCCGCTATCCGTCACGGTCGTCCAGGGCGTAGCAGGCGTGGCATTTTCTCGACACCATAGGGGATGCGCAAAGGGTGGTCCCTCAGCGCGGCCGCTATCCGTCACGGTCGTCCCGGGCATAGCAGGCGTGGCACTTTCTCGACACCACAGGGGGTGCGCAGGGGGTGGTCCTTCAGCGCGGCCGCTATCCGTCACGGTCGTCCAGGGCATAGCAGGCGTGGCACATTCTCTACACCATAACGGGAGTGCTTAGGGGGTGGTCTTTCACCGCGGCTGCTATGCTCGACGGTCGTCCACAGGGCATAGCAGGCGTGGCACTTTCTCGACACCACAGGGGGTGCGCAGGGGGGGGGTCCCACCGCGGCCGCTATGCGCGCCGTTCGTCCAGGGTACAGCAGGCGTGGCACTTTCTCGACACCATAATAGGGTGTGCGCAAGGGGGCTCCCTCAGCGCGGCCCCTGTCCGTCACGGTCGTCCAGGGCACAGCAGGGGCGGCATTTTCTCGACACCATGGGGGTGCGCAGGGGGTGGTCCCTCAGAGCGGCCGCTATCCATCACAGTCGTCCAGGGCATAGCAAGCGTGGCACATTCTCGACACCATATGGTGTGCGTAGGAGATGGTCTCTCACCGCGGCCGCTATGCTCGACGGTCGTCCAGGAACAGCAGCAGGCGTGGCATTTTCTCAACACCATGGGCTGCGCAGGGAGGGTGTTCTCACCGCGGCCGCTTTGCGCGTCGGTCGTCCAGGGCATAGCAGGCGTGGCACTTTCTCGACACCATAGAGGGTGTGCGGGGGAGGGGTACCTCACCGCGGCCGCTACGCACGCAGGTCGTCCAGGGTACAGCGTGGCATTTTCTCGACACCATAGAGGGTGCGCAGGGGGGTCGGTTTCCCAGGGACTATGGACCCCCTCAGGGTACTCAGGCTCCCAAGGCTTGACAGGCGCCACCAACAAAATCGGCGAAGCAATGGCCACCTGCATGTTTCTCGCAGATTCACGTCGAGTATCATCACGCCAGACATATTATAAGTATGTGGCGTTCCTCAGTAGCGTAACTATCTGGGCACGGCATCAGCGAATCGCGCCCATATAAAAGATTCCCTACTCTCCTTGAGGGGCGACGATCAGGGGGACTGGCTCCCTCCGCCTCGGCCTCCCCCCGTACCCCAACTCCCCCTCCTTCCTCGCCCTCTGCTCCTCCTTCTGCGGCGAAGGTCCGAGGACCCTGATTGGTCTGAAAGCCATCCTAGTGAGCCCTGCCAGGGGAGGAGGAGGAGAGGGGAACATCAGGGGAGACTGGCTCGGGGGGGAAACATCGACCTGGAATCGGCGATACATCGCCGACAGGTCGGCGGCAGGACCTTGTAGCGAATAGGGACGCTCCCGGGCGGGGTGGGCTATCGGACCCCCCTTATCGGCGATCAATGTACAAGTGGGGGCCGATGCATCCCACCCTGAACCTCCTCGCCCCTGGCGTTGCCCGTGAATGGTCCCACTCCCTCCGTTTTCCACCCCTGCCCCGGGGTGGATCGCTGGGGCCGTGGTGGTTTTTGGCGCGAGAGAGACCTACTGCCAAAGCTGCTTCTAACCTTCAGCTCCACAGTGGTGGCCCCCCAGATGGGGGGGCCCAGACGGCGCTGCGGAGAATGACGCCTCCTCCTGCCGAGCCGATCCGATCCGACCCACCCCTGCCCCGATGGCGACGACCACGACGACGACGACGACGACGACGACGACGACGACGACGACGACGACGACGACGACGACGACGGCGACGACGGCGGCGGCGGAGGCGGCGGCGGCGGCGGCGGCGATGACGGCGGCGATGCCGATGCCGTGGCGCCTACGATGTACATCGCGACGGGCAGGGTGCACATCTCCGCCCGGAAGATGCACTCGAAGCTCATGTCCCTGGCGCGGCGGCGGCGCCAAGAGGCTCGCGCGGGGTGCGGCAAAGAGCGCTTACGCACAGATCAGAGGAGGGGCGGCGGGAGCGAGAGGAGACGGGGAATGGGGGGCCGTGTTTTAACGTTCGGCAAGTATCAGCGACGGTGCTTTTGCGTTCCTCAGCAACTCGATCTATTGTAGGGGCGGACGCAAAAAAAGAATCCCAAGAGGACGAGCGCGAGAAGATAAGAGCGCGCTGTGCGGCAAGGAGGGGGGGACCTCCTCCTCCTCCGCCTTCTCCTCATCTTCCTCCTCCTTATCCTCCTCCTCATCATCATCATCTTCCCCCTCCTCCTCCTCCTCCTCCTCCTCCTCCTCCTCCTCCTCCTCCTTGTCCTCCTCCGCCTGTTCCTCATCCTCCTCATCCTCCTCCTCCTCCTCCTCCTCCTCCTCCTCCTCCTCGTACCCTCCTTCCGTGTCTATCCCATTTAGACACACCCCTCGCAGGCGTCGCGAGCCCCGACCCCAGCGACAGGGTTCGCATGTCGTCCATCGGCTCATGTTGCGACACTCCTCACGCGCGTCGTGCGCGACAAGGAGCTCCACTCATGGCCCCAGCGGCAGGGTTCGCATGCCGTACCCCGCTCATTTCGGCACAACCCTCACACGGAGAATGCCCCACAACGAGCTCCAGTTACGGCCCTAACGGCAGGTTTCGCATGCCACTCCCCCCCGCTCATTTCGGCACACCTCTCATACTGATCGTGCCGCACAGGGAGCTCCACCTATGGCCGCAGCGACAGTATTCGCACGCCGCCCCACCCCGCCCATTTCGGTACACCCCTCGCACGGATCGTGCCCAATGGGGAGTTCCGCCCCACATGGAGCTCCACATACTGCAAGTGTATCCCACAGATCCCAGGTGGTTTCCTCCTCCCCCGATTCATCATCAGCCATCCCTCGGCTCAGGCTACAGAGGGCTGACGTTCAATTGACATCCCTGGCACGCTTTCCCCGCTCGCGATGGCCTTTTCTCGGCCGCGCCCAGGCGGAAGGCACGTTTGGGGCCGCTGGCGCCGTTGGCCCAGGGGCGCCAGACGCGGCCGTCGCTCGCCAGGGCGCTCAGACCGACGGGGACACTTTGCTCATGAACGGTGCCGCGGAGCGGTTCGGCAAGGATGCTAGAAGCTCAAGGGCACATTCCTCATGGCGCGGATACGCACACCTGGAAGAGCCGCGCCCCCTGCCCGAGTTCACGCTCGCCCACCACCGTCGCATCCCCGGCGGTGAGGGGGCAGACGAAGCAGCGAGCCCGGGTGAGCCGCGCAGCCCTCGGTCGGACCGCGAAGGCACCCAAGGTGAGAACAGCCCCAGAGACCCCCGCCCGAGGGGCCCCTCCCTGGCACACACAGCCACTACACCAGGACGGGTGCCAAACGCGACAGAAAAAGCGCCCTGCACAAAGAAGCGCCCTG